GAGCTCCCAATATAATGATTTTTTTAAAGTTACACCCAATGAACTGATACCAAGGGCTCAAGTAGAAAAAATGTTTTGAAAATGATGATGGCAACAAATGTACAAATGCGCTTGACACAACAGATGTACATATGGATTGTAGTAAGAGCTGTAAGAGGCCCCAGTAAAGTGATTTAAAAAAAAGAACAGAAACTTCACAGGGTTTGGAGGTTTTGGAGTATGGGTGCATGGAATAGCCTAAGGAATTAGCCTGGTATGGAGGGAAAGATGTTTAGTGCCTCCGTTTTTTACATAGTGCCTGAAATCTTTAAAGTTTACAAGTGGCCATTCACTGCACATCAATAAGCTTTAAGGCGTTGTTGGGCTGTTAACTGCAAGGTCAGCAATTTCGAACCACCAGTTGCTTCCCGGGAGACTTTCTACTCCCATAAAAAGTTATGGGAAATGCACAGAAGCAATTATACCCTGTCTTATAGGGTCTCTGTAAGTCAGCACCAACTCAGTGGCAGTGAGGGGTTTTTTTTGGTTTTGGTGAATGGAACAACAGAGGAAGAAGAGTTAGGTGGAAGAAGAGTTAGGTTCACAGGAGGATGTGGAAATGTGTAGTTTAAATGCTATCTGGTCTCTTGTCATGAGACCAAACGAATGAATAGTGCCAGTTATTGAACATTTTGATCAACATTTTAATAAGGAATCTTGATAAAAATATGGAAAATGCAGAACAGAATTTCCAATTCTCATGGCCTCCAGACTTTCTAGAGCACCTATGGGGCTGAGTGAACCCCTGAACCTACAGTCCTGAGATAATTTTTAAATATTAAAATAATTCTGAAATCTTGAGACTAGTTTAACTTAACTAGAAAATATTTATGCCTTGGGCATTATACTCTTCAAGAATTATCTATATGGGATCAGAGCGACAAAAGCCATAGAAAAGATTAGCTGTAGACAAGAACCATAGGGGATGTGAGCTGATGTTAATAGGAGAGGGGTAATTCAGACAAGTGGGGTAAGAATGGCTGTACAACCGAAGAATGTAATCAGTGTCAGAATTGTACATGTAGAAATAGATGAGTTGGTGATCATTTTTCTGTGTATAATCTCAACAAGAAATTTAGAAAATAAATGCATAAATACTTTAATAGTGGAATAACTATTTTCCCCTTTAATAATAAAGTACATGCCTGGCATATCATATCATCTCCCCTTTTATATTTCCTATCATCCTTACTCCACAGGAAACCAAATCCTAGTAATTTCCATTGCTGAAACAGCCAAAGTTTTCCTTATTTTTGACGCATTTGATAAGCCTTAAATTTGGAGTCAGCCATCACGGGTTTCCATAGTAAGAGTGAATTCTGATCATTCAGAGAGCCCTGGCAGTGCAATAGGGAATCACGTGGTGGTTAACAAACAGGTGTTCACACCTAGCAGCGGCTCCATAGGAGAAACGAGGTGGCAATCTGTTCTGTACAGCCTACAGCCAAGCAAACCCTTCAGGGCAGTTACTCTATTCTGTCCTGCAGTTACCATAAGGCAAATACCAACAACTGTTAGCTCAGGGTAGGCTCATCTCCTGGTCCCAGATTTTAGGGCTATCAATGAGCATTTATACCCACCTCACAAGTTTCATTTAGGGACAAGAAAATACTGTTATGGTTTTTGTTTTTTTCCCCAAATAACTTCTTACTTGAAAACATGCTTGATTTATTTCTAAAAATAATGAGAAGTATATATCCTCAATTGTGACCAAATGTGAAATTCTCATAAAGCATCTTTTTGTGAAGATGCACACAATGATCAATGTTAAAAACTAGTTGTTTCACTCACCAATTCCCAAACATCTTGCAACAATTTACCAATCATCTTTCTATATATACCATATCTGCCTAATATTGGCATGTCTCAATCACCGAATGCAATTTTAAATGCATTTTTAATCATCAGTCTCATAAATGTAATAAAAATATAAAATCTTCATTTCAGTTAACAAATGACAAAAATTTAGTTCAATATGAGGGGTGTGAAATTTAATTAACCAGAGTTAATAAAAAGCATACTGCAATGCAACTGGTAAAACACATTATTGTAATCTTGAGTATATTAACAGCTAGTACGAGCGAATAGTGACAGTGTACTCATACAAAGTTTAGATATCACCTAAAGAAGATGGCTTATTTTGAAGATCCAGTTTTTAAGAAGTACATGGATAACTGGAGATTATTCAAGGAAGGGAACCAAAATAAAGAGCATGCTAAAATATGATAAAAAATATCTATTCAATCTCTAGAGCAGCAGTTCTCAACCTGTGGGTTGCAACCCCTTTGGGGGTCGAACAACCCTTTCACAGGGGATCGCTCGATTCATAATAATAGCAAAATTAGAGTTCTAAAGTGGCAATGAAAATAATGTTATGGTTGGAGGGGTCACCGCACCATGAGGAACCGTATTAAAGAATAGCGGCATTGGGAAGGTTGAGAACCACTGCTCTAAAGGAAAGATGGAGAAGGCAAAATCATCTTCAATTGACCTACGTGTTTTCATAAGGCTGTCTTATTTCTGAGTCAGAACTGACTAGATGGCAGTGAATGAGGCAAAGAAATAGTGAAAGTTTCATAGGCAGTTGAACTTAACTGGAATGGTATATTTTATACATACACACATACATATGCGTGTCCAAAAATATGGATCGTTTTTCAAAGATATGTATTGAAATTTTTTTTGCAAAACCTTATCAACTTCAAAGTACTCTCCGTTACACTTAATACATTTGTCAAATCTGCGATTCCATTCTTGGAAACATTTTTCAAACATCTGTTTGGATGGCTGACAGCACATCCCTCAGCTTTTTTCTTCATGTCTTCTACATCATCAAATCACTGTCCTTTCATGTCCCTCTTTATTCGTGGAAACAAAGTCACATGAAGCAAGGTCGGATGAATAAGATACATGGGGCAAGAGAGGCATGCTGATTTTTGCAAGTTTGCAAAACTGGCGCACTGAGATGAGCAGGTACATTGTCTTGGTGACAAAACCAGTCCCATCTGACACAAATCAGGCCTTTTATGTTGCACACTGTTAACACTGTTTTCAGAACCTCTAAATTGAGAGCTTGATTAACAGTCTGACATGGAGGAACAAACTCCAAATGCAGTAAGAGTCGACATTTTCATCCATTTGGGAAGTTGACAGCCATCCAGAACAAGGTTTATCATCAACTGACATTTCACCTTTTTTTAAATAAAAACACTCGTACACTTGAGGTTTCTCCCCCATAGCACTTTCCAAGTAAGCTGTGCTTAAAAATCTCAACAGTTTCTGTAGCATTTTTCCTCAGCAGAAAACAAAATTTCACAGCTGCAAGTGTCTCTTAAATCGGCCATCACAAAAAGAGGTTTGTGCAAAACGGCTTTTATGAAAAAATTCACTGTGACCAGAGAGAACCTTCCCAGGTGAAGTCACTGGGTGCACTAATTCAGAGTGAGTTGTTTGATGCTCGCGTAGTAGGAAAAATGTGTACTATAAAAGCTGAACCCGGAGGAGCTTTTTTCCTTTTTTATAGGGGGGTGGGGTGGGGGCCTTGAATACACATATTGCTAGACAACTACAAAACAGTGTAATTGATATTCATAAAACAGAAAATTTCTTATGATTAAACAGACCTAGTTGATAGAGCAAAGAAAATACAAAAATAATTTTTACATGGAGTATATTATTTCTTCCAAATACTATGGCCCAGACCTTATTTCTGAAGCTTAAATGTAAAGACCCATTACCTGGGATCTTATTAAAATGCAAATTCTGATTCCGTTCTTCCAAAATAAGGTCCTCAGGTTCTGCAGGCCTATGCGCTAGCATGTTCCCTAATTCAAGTAATGCTTCTAGAGCGTTTTCTTTTTCTTTTCTAATCATAAATATATATATATATATATATATTTTAATTTTTTAAAATCATTTTATTAGGAGCTCATACAACTCTTATCACAATCCATACACACATCAATTGTGTAAAGCGCACTTGTACATTCATTGCCCTCATCATTCTCAAAACATTTTCTCTCCACTTAAACCCCCAGCATTAGGTCCTCATTTTTCCCCTCCCTCCCCGCTCCCCCCTCCCTCATGAGCCCTTGATATTGTTATTTTGTCATATCCTGCCCTGTCCGACGTCTCCCTTCACCCACTTTTCTGTTGTCCGTCCCCCAGGGAGGAGGTCACATATAGTTCCTTGTAATCGGTTCCCTCTTTCCTACCCACTCTCCCTCTACCCTCCCTGTTTCACCACTCACACCAGTGGTCCTGTAGGGCTCATCTTCCCTGGATTCCCTGTATTTTCAGTTCCTATCTGTACCAGTGTACATCCTCTGGTCTAGCCAGACTTGCAAGGTCGAATTCAAGTCATGGTAGTGGGAGCGGGGAAGAAGCATTTAGGAACTAGAGGAAAGTTGTATTTTTCATCATTGTTACATCGCACCCTGACTGGCTCATCTCCTCCCCGTTCTAGAGCGTTTTCATTAACACATTAATCTACCATATAAAGGGAGATTGGATGCCAACAAATCCAAATGTGAAAGAATATGATTTAAGCTTTAAAAAATCCCATATAATGTCATAGGACAAAAGCTGAAAACACATAGTGAAACAACTTACTGTGGTTGGTAAAGGAAGAGATCAATAATGTTATCCCGGCCTTTGGGGTGGTTGAAGAAAACAAACAGAGACCAGTGAATGAGCCATGTTCGCTGCTGAAGAGACTGGAGTGGAGAACTCACTGACTGAAGGGTTTAAAAATGTATATATAAGAATTATGGGAGAAAAAAGCATTGTGAGTATCTGACAATGAGGCAGGATATTCATTAAAAGCTAGTACTCTCTGAGACATGCACTAGGATCATTATGGTTGAAGTTTGATTTCCTGTACTTATCTCTACATAAGCCCCAACTGTCCAAAATTATGACTGTTCTCAGAGATGGATTCAGTAATGTCTACTAAATCATTCTAGTAAATTACTAAAACCATTTTAAAATCAAGAACCGAAGTACACATCTCCTAAGAAATGGTTTTCATAGACAACTACAGATGAAAACTGTCATCTTCCGCATAAACCATATCAACCACTGCTGCATCCAGTCTGACCGCAGCCTGACAGGCAGAACAGAACTGCCCTATTGGGTTTCCAAGGCTATAAATATTCACCAAAGATTAAAGCCACACCTTGCTCCCTCAAAGAAGCTGCTGGGTCCAAACCGCTCATCTTTTGGTGAGCAGAGTACTGTGCCATTTTCATGAGCATTTAATGAAAATTGGCTTCTTTTCTGTAAGAAACTAAGGATGTTTCAGTTTCCTTCAAGGAGGTCTAGTGAAAACAGTTAAGCTCGCTGACTATGACAATAAAAGCTACTCTGAACATTTTAGTTATGTAAGTGCACAGTGCTTTCTTTCCTACCCAGAAATGAGGATACGCACATACAACTGGTGGGTGGGTGGGGGGTTGGGGTGGGGGGATAAATTCACCAATCACTCGACGGTAACTCACATTATTATCAATGGTCTCTTTCAACCTTGTAAGGTCTTCCATGGCTGCATCCCAATTCTGCATTAAGATTTCAGAGGCCAGTTTCCCCCAAAGGGAACTCAGAGCATTCCTATCAGTTGCTGGAACCTGTTTAAGCAATCACAAGTCATTATTTTCTGAATACCCAAGTAGAAAAGAGATCATTTAAAAAGGATACCACATAGCATTAGATCTATAGCTATCTGCCCCGGACCCCTGTATCAACAAAGTTCTTACCGGGTCACATTTATGTTTTTAAAACTAACAAAACAAGAGTGCCCCTTAATTTTGGTGTAAACCATTTTATATGAATTCACACAAAACTAAAAAAACTTCAGGCACCTAAAATTTTGGGAACTAAGGTTCAGATAAATTAGTTGCTAACATCACTGTGAATAATCGAGACATAATCTCTTTGAAAACGCAATGAGAAATTACTTCCTAGGATACCATCAAAAGAGGCTATATAGGCTTGGGGGCATGGAGGTGTTCAAAAATCAAGCCTATTGTTTAATAACATTGAGGAATTATGCAACAAATGATAAACATTTTTTTCATACAATCCTGCCCCAAAATGTCTATGCTCATCATATAAATAGGAAACTGTTGCTGGCTCTGTGACCAACTTGCCCAGAGTTACACCTAGTAAAGCACTCTCTGGATTCAGTTTCAAACACGCTGTTTTTATTGCCGCTAATTGTCAGTGAGTTAATTCCAACTGCGGGCAACCCCTCCATGGGAATAGTAAGAACTCCCCTGGGTCTCCAGAGCAGTGAGTTTTCAGAAAGGGATCGCCAGGCCTATCCTTCCTTTCATCTAACATTCCAGCAGTACATCTGTATACACCGACTCCCTGAATCCAAAACTGACAACTTGGTAGAAAAGCTCTACATTTTTATACCGCTGTCTTAATCCATAAAAAAGGAGGAATAAGGGCCATCCTCATCTTACCTTTCTACTGATAGAAGAGTGTTCAAAAGGAGCGAAACACTTATAAGAACCATGCTAACAAAAATATGAGTAAGGCAGAACTACCGTAGGCAAAGCAATGGAAGAACATAGAATGACACTTAATGTACTGCATGTGCTAAACAGCAGAAGCAAGTGAGTATCTTAGAAGGAAAAGAATATTTTTGCATCCTTAATTAAAATTTACCAGGAAAAAAAAAAAAAGAGGGGGAATGACGACAACATTTAAATGGTGTTTTAATTGTGAGACATAGGTACAAATTATATGGACAGGATTCAAAGTTTTAAGTATTTTGGACCTACCATTTATTACACAGGTGATCTGGAAGGCACAAATGGTTACGCACTAACAATTAGCCAAAAGGTTGACACAGGTCAAACCTACCGACAGAGATGCAGAAGATAGGCCTGGCAATCTACATTTGACAGAACGTGCCCTTAGAAGCCCCTGGAGCAGCTCCACACGCACACAGAGTTGCCACGTTCAGAATGAACTCGACAGCAACTCAAGGGGCAGTCACAGACCCTACTACCCCCGGTTGTCATGAAGGTTTAAAAACATCTACAATATGAATCAATCTTATAGCATATCTCATTTACAAAAGTCAAAATATAGGCATATGTGTTCCCAGTTCTACTTGCATAGGTATACTCCAAACAAAACATTTAAACATGTCTGTGATCAGAGAAGTTCTCTTAATTAATACCGTTATCTAAGACTTGTCATGGCACCTCAAAGCACATTTGTTGGGGGGATTTGAGGGTCATACCTAACAGCAAATTTTGAGCAAGCTCAAGTAGACATACTCCCAAATCACTGAAGCTGTCCAACAAGTTTATGGGAATACTACCCCATATAAATGAGTTTTCAGACAGATCACGTCCTTAAGAGAATCAGGAAGACCTCAAGGATGAGTTCAAGCAGAGGTCCACTTGGAAGGTATGGCGACTGTTTTATGGAATTCCAAGAGTAATCTTGATGGATTTTCTAGGACACAACTTGTTCATGGGATTTGGGTAGATAGGATTTTTTTAAAAATGAAAAACTCTATTGGTTTGAATAAAGGCCAAGAAATTTGTGTCAATAAACGTTTTTCCATGTGACAATAGACCTGCTCATTCTCGAAGGGCAGCAAGGGCTGCTCACCCATTTACCCTCTAGCCCTTACCCTACACCTGGCAGACTGTTTCCAAATCTCAAAGAACATTTCAAAGGAACATAATGTGAATCCCCTGAGGTTGGGTAAACTGCTATTTTGAAGAGAGAGCACAAAAATTTTGTTAAAGGGCAAGAGAGATGGAAACACTACCATCAGAAATACATATACCTGTGGGGCCCTGGAATGATCCAGGAGGGTTGCAACAGCAGATACCTACACTTTATCCTGTTTCTAGTATAAAAATGTTTAACTGCAATTATTTTTCTGAAAAGGGGATAGTAGAACAAGTACGTTTGGGAACCTATGCCCGAGATGGAAGTTATGGACAAACATGAGCTTCACATTTTGATATTCTTGCTCAACAAAGGTTTCTAGGGCTTTGCAGCAATACTTTTTAGCTTACTTTCAAGTGATAGCTAAAAATACAATCAATTCAAAGGTTCATCAGCAGGAATAAAAACTTGAATATTCACAGAATGGAATGAAGCCATACTTGTTTTATGGCACTTTGCAGATAATTGCTTATTTCACAAATCAAATGTTTGTGGCAACCTGGCTCCAAGCAAAGCTATCAGGGTCACTTCTCCAAATGCATTTTTCTCTGTCTCTGTATCACCTTTTGACAATCCTCACAAAACTTCACAAACCGTGCATAACGCATAAGTGCACACTTAATAGATGACCAACCCAAAAAACCTAACCCATTAACATCAAGTCAAATTTAGTCCACAACAACCCTCTGTAGGGTTTCCGAGGATTCTCTCTCTTTAGGGGAACAGCTTCATTTTTCTCCCTTGAAGCAAAAGGTGGGGTTGAACCACCCACCTTGAAGTTAGCAGTCTAATGTTTACTTGACAGGACCACTAGTGTACTGTAAATACAATGTTCATATTCACTGGGAAACAGGCCTCGGAAACCCAATACAGGTATATATATGCACATTTGTCATACACATTTAAAAGTTGATTTTTAAAAATCCATGAAAACTAAAAAAAAAAAAAAAATCCATAAAAACTATCCAAATGACAAAGGATAAGAAGGTCTGATCCTTAAAAGTATTAACATATTTGTTGAATTTGCAATGCCATCAATTTTAGGGTGCACTATTATTTTGTTCTCCAAATGAAAAACAACCTTATAAGATGTTACCAATTAAGAAACATCCCAATTTCATTTGTTAAAGTATGAAAACGTGTGCATCTGAAAATGATACCAGACATGTTCACCCTAAGTATCAAGCAGTATTCACAGGCCCAACACCAGCCAAGATCAAGAGCTTTCAAGAGTTATCTTTGCTCTAGTTGGCTTCAGCCTCAAGGACATCTGAATCCACAGCACACATTTCACAGTAAAGAAATAGTAAATCCAGGGTACTCAAAATTCTGGACTAAGTGAAAATCACTTTGCTTCAAACTCACTACCATCTACTCTATTTTCACTAAATAGAGACCCTACAGGGCAGAGTAGAAACCTGCCTCTGTGGGTTTCCAGGGCTATAAATCTTTACAGGAGCAAAAAGCTTCACTGTTTACTACCCATAACAGATTGGTGGGTTTGAACTGCTGACCTTGTGGTTAGCAGACCAATGTATAACCAACTATACGCAGCATGACTTTAAAAAGCCGAGTAGAAAAAGTAAATACATTAAAAAAATAAAAACCACATAGCTATGTCCTTCCCCAACTGAACAGCAACAGCCCTAGCACCTAAAAATTACATTTATTGCATATTGTTTAATGGTAGAAAGGACTATCTTTTGGAGCCAGACCAGAGGTGGCAGTGAGGCTAGATTTTAACAAAATAATTAACAGTATTAACAACTTCCAAAACAAAAATGCCCCCGAAATTCCTACCAAACCTGCTCTATTATTTCATGTGAAATTAGCTCATTTTCTAGAGTACTAATCAAACAAAGAAGTTTCACAATAAAATAAGCACACTTAAGCATTCATTATATATACTAAAAGCCACCAAATCTTAAAGTAGATTCTAGGGTCACAGAGCTTTAATTTATACAACACTGACCTACAAAAGGTCACTCAGAGAGTCAAATTCTAATCTCAGATCACAGTTACAATGGTTCTTTCATAGCTTATGTTTCCTTAACCACAGATTTAAAAGAATCACCAGCCACAAGAATTCAGAAATGAAAAGCCTACTAGAGAAATAAAATAACTAATAAGCAAGACATTGATGTTTTTCATCCCAAATCCAAGAGCAGAATTTTTATATTTGCTACCACAAAACTTCAAATACATAGATTTTATACATCTATTTTAATGCAAAAGAAGTAAATCAATCTATTGTTTTATATTAAGCTCTGCTACTATACAAATAGGAAGTAACCAACTCCCTCCTACCTGAAAGGCTCTGTGGTAAAACATGAAACAAAAATACAAAATGGAATTAAATAAAATTATACCTAACTTCTACACACTCAACAATCACTACATATTAACTGCTCTTAATGTAAAACATAAACTTTGTTTTCAGATCATTGTGCTCAATTAAATTAGTTAACCAAAACATCACACTACAATGGTTTGAGTTCCACATGAAAGTAGTGTTAGGGAAAATGCAAAAGGTTAAAACTAACCCAGAATATTCTTAAAGACAGAACTAACTCAGATCCGTGTGTACGTGTGTGTATTCAAAAGTAAACAAGAAACTCCCAAAATCTTTGTCTATTTCTACCACTTACAGGAGTCTTCACATGAACTAAGTATAAAACATAATACTAGCAAAACCAGAACAGGTGACCTGTGTCTGGATAAAGCTTTTTGTAGTAGCAGGGCAGATTTTTTTTAGTCCCCAAAAGGTTCATGCGTACTACTCTGGCTCGGCTCCATGTCATTACAGTTGGCTCTTCATACCAACCTGCTTTCAAGGGTGGATATGCTAGATGAGTTTCAATATCTGGATTTTCCAGCAGTTACCTTAAGTTTCCATGTCTTAGCAAAACGGCACATTCACTCCCTGACCAGCAACAATAAATTTACTGTGCTGAAACTCTAACATGACACTAAATCTTCATTCTCAAAATTCACTCCCAGCATTAACAAATGATATGAATAACCAACTCTTTTCATGTACCTGTAATCATATCGGGCTTCTGATTTTACAATCCTGGTTTAAGCTGTTTACATTTCCAAAGTAATCAACTTTTGCTCTCCTAAATCCTTCATAATATTCAAAGAAAGACTGATGGAATTTTCTGATAAGCCACTACAAGTTTAGCATCACTGATTCCCTTCAATGCTCTTGCAAGCCAACCAAAGCTAATGTGTAAGAAAGCATTTACAAATAGAAGAATGGAAAAAAACGTGTTTTTAAACTCAACTTTTAAATCAACCAAGTGTTTGTTTCTTTAAAGAGATGGATTTATCTCTTTAAGGAGACTAATTTTTAAGGATCAAAATTACCCAAGTAATTACCCAAGTAACAATCCTTTGTTTATCCTAAAAAAGGACAATTTCCTTTCCTAAAAAGCAACCAATAGTAGCAGTCACAAAATGTCTTTTCTGTGAGACATACGGTTTTAAAAGTGAAGAAACAGGCACCAGAAGACAAAAGGAAAAGGAACAAATGTCGTCAGCCTGTCTTAAGAGCTCTTTCCCATTTTCTAGGATTGGCTAGAGAAATGGGCATAAGTATTTGCATACTCACTCTAAGTAACAACCTACTATTTCCTGTTTCAGAGCATTTTGATAACTGTAGAAAGAACTTATGGATACTGTAGTTACTTCAACAGAAGACAGGAAGAGAAAGAAATCTGTCAATATGAAGGTTTTCTTGAATTTCTTGAGTTCATATAATTCCTTCTCCTAACAAAAGCACAAAATCCAGGACTTTTCAGACAAATGAAGATAGCGGGATACTTGAGGGTTAGCAGGTATTTCCTCGGCTCTAGTAGTGCTATTTAAATTCATCTATTCACTACATAAAGAAATCACTGACCTTTATATTCTAACAGCTAAGAGCAAAAGTAAATATCACTAGAAAGGAACAAAATTTTAGAACAAACTCAAGGTTTATGTATAGAATATTGAATTAAAATTAATAGATGTATTTAATAAATATTTACTAAGTACCTACAATGTACCTACCACATACTGTGCTTACAATAATAAAACGATACCTCTATTATAAGACAGGAATTCTGCTAATGCTATAATTATATAAGATAGGACATCAGATCAGCAGTTTCTACTTTTGGATTTGAAGGAAGCGTTACATGTCCCTTTGAATTTTCAAGTCCTATTTTCTTTTGGTTAGGGAAGTTACTTTTCTTTCTTTTACAGAGTCCCATCTAGAGATGTTTTGGACAGCCGTGAGTTGACAAAATAAATTAAAGTACTTACCAGCACTCTAAAAAAATAAAGATATTCTGCTGCTCCTGAGTAATTCCCACATTCATACTGGAATTTTGCATATCTGTAGAGAGTGTCTAAATATTCCTGCCTAAACTAAAAAAAAAAAAATTTTAATTATGTTTTTTTTAAGTTTCAAAATTGAATCCATTTACTTCTTTAAATTCCCCAGAAGTAATTCTCCCAAAGTCTTTCAAAGGTTACCCCCAAAACAAACACCATGGTCAGAGAGCTATTTGACCTTTAAAATATACATTAGAAACTGGTAGATTTAACATTTGCAGTTTTTAACCTCAAAGAGTTATGAATTATAATGATAAAGAATTTGTCGTAATACAAACTTACATTGCAGCTAAAGGTCTAGGGTGTGAGTTCTACAACTGATAACTGAGCTTGGCCAACTACCAGGCACATACATCTCTTTTTTTCTTAAAATTTTGTGATTCTATACAAATAATCTCTACAGCAAACTAATATTCTCAGTGAAGATTGTACGAAAATAACACCAAGGATGTAAGGAAACTCCAAGTGAAGAAATCGAGGAGAAAGTCTCTCAACTAGAACATTAACAAATCCAGGGAACAATCCAAAAGGAAACCGGAAAGTACAATCCGTACATTGGTTGGCAAATCCTTTGTTGAAACCATTAAGTGAGAAATTATACTTGAATTTAAATGAAAGAATTAAGAGCAAACCTTCAAACTGAAGCGTTAACACAATGGAAATGAGATCAAGAGACAGTTTAAAAGGGGCTTATGACAACATTTCTGTGATTGTGAATATAAAAGTTTATGTATCCCTTCATACTCCACAAGGTATCCAAGTATGACTTAATTCTATTAAACATGTTACTAATTCAAATTCAGTTCTCTTATTAATCAGAAAATTCACCTAGTATAAAATGATTTTATATAATTATTGTGATATAAACCATCAGCTTTGAGGACTACTTTGAACTAATAGGAGGAACAACATCAATTTTAAAGAACTAAACCTTCAAATATAAACCATATGTACTTAAGTTAACCTGGAAAATATATTATTGCCAAACCTGCCTGTATAGCACTAGTCTTTAATTAGCCTATAACAGTTTCATTAGATATTTTTAAAAATAATACTTACACCATGCTTATCCGCCAGGTAGTCAAATAACATCCGACCATCCCTTAATAATAAACAAACAATTATTGTATTTGATAGACTGTGAAAACGAAAATAAATGCAACCAACTTCCGAGTAATTGCACACATTAAGTCACCTTAAATATGTAAATACTTCAACAACAAAAGATTTCCATCAGAATAAAATAGACTAGCCCTAACTGAAAATCAGTTGTTGTGACATACCATCTTGGATCTGGTGCACTAGTGAGTTATACCAGACACTCCCAGGGTGAAAAATGAGGCTTTTTACTCTCATAAAGAGTTAGTCGTGGAACCCAGAGGGGCAGCTCTACCCTGTAAAGACTCAAAAGCATTGAGTATTTTTAGTAGTGTTTGGTGCTGGGGGGGTAAGGATTACAAGTTTCTTTAGGAAGAAAAATCAGAATATTAAAGAAAAAATTCTATTTTTATACTGAGGTCAGTATC